CGCAGCGGTCGTCACAGGGTTACACCTTCGGCCTTGGTTCCGGCTCTGTCTCGTGGCGGGCTACTCGCTCGTCTTCTGTTCTCGGCTCCAATTGTGAGGCTGAGATCTACGCCGGGGCTATGGCTGCTCAGGAGCTTCGCTGGCTCACCTACCTGCTGACCGACCTTGGAGAGCCGCCTCGTTCTCCTCCAGTCCTGTACGTAGACAACAAGGCCATGCTGGCCTTGTGTCGAGAGCAGCGACTGGAGCACAGGACAAAGCACATTGCTCTCCGCTACTTTCTTGCTCGTGAGCTACAGCAGCGTGGACAGTTGCGACTTGCGTACGTGGCCTCTGAGGCCAACACTGCTGATGTCTTCACCAAGGCACTTGCGCCTTGTGATCATCAGCGTTACTGCACGCAGCTGGGTCTTGTGCCTGTCTTGCCTCACTTGCTCACTTCTTGACCTTGCTTGTACCTTGACCTATATATACTGTTGCTCTTGCTTGCTTGACTCTTGTATATCTCTATATATTATCTTGCATGCGAACTGGCCTTGTGGCCCTTGACCTTGTGCTCGGAATGTGTGGTGACTTTGTGATCCACCCTGAGCTTTGCTTTGCTTTGCTTGACTGGTCTTGTGACCCCTTGTTCTCCCCCACTTTGCCTATGGGGGTGTGTCAGAACATTATAGCTTACTTTTTTGTGTAGGCTATAGTGGGGTATCCCATAGGGGGTACAACCCAATTAGGGTTTCATATTTGTACTCACTTCATTCATAGTTCATTCATTCTCGTTCACTTCTTCTCATGGTATCGAGCAGGCTCCCCTGTGGGACCTGTGCTTAGGGCCCACCACCTCGAAACGTCTTTTTTTTTCTGGTGCGCAGGGTTGGGATGTCTGGTGCATCCGGGTCTCCCTCAGGGGCAAGCAGCATGGACACGAGATGAGGTAAAGCAACAGCAAAGAACTGGAACTCCTCGTGGCTGTCCTCAAGGACGTCCGTGCTAAGAGCACACTCACCCGCGACAGACGGAGGACAGGCAGACGCAGACTCAGCAACAATACTAGCGGTGTAGTCTAGACGATAGTGAGCAGCAAAGTCGACAAGCTCAGCAACTAAGGCAGACGCAGTAGTGGACTCAAAGGAAGGGTCACCTACAATAGTGGCCAAAAGACGTGTGACAGTAGGACTAGTACTGTAGGACAGTAGGGCTCCGCACCCATAGGCTCAGCACTTTCAGGTTCCGCACCCCCAGACTCAGCAACCCCAGGCTCAGCAACCCCTAAACTCAGCACCCCCAGGCTCAGCATCCCCAGACTCAGCACCTCCAAGCTCCGCACTCTCAGGCTCAGAACCCCCAGACCCGGCACCCGCAGGCTCAACAACCCTAGCAGCACCAGAGTCGACAGCAACCTTGACAGGCTCGACTGCGTCTACCTGGTACACACATGAGGGTGCAGGACCCTGAGGGGGAAGGGGGTCTACCAGGGGAGGACCTGGCGTGAGGAAGAGCGGCGGGGGGGGAGGGGGGCAGTGCGGTAGGGGAAGAGACGGTAGTAAGGAACCGACTCGTCAAACGTGACGTCCTGAGCGGGGAAGACATGGCATGAGGTGGGATGGTAAAATAGCGAACCAGGCGCGTCAGGGGGGAAGCCAAGGAAGACGCAAGGAACATCAAGGGAGGACAGCTTGTCCGCAGACAAGTCGTGGACGAAAGCTCGAAATCCCCAGACACGGAACGCTGACGCATCGCCAACCTTCCCCATCCACCACAGAGTAGGCGCGGTCTCCAACATGGAGACCCAGGGCTAGAGGTTGAGGTGATGCGCAGTGTACTGAACCGTGAACGGCCACAGAAAATGGGGAGCAGTCGCATGGACCATGGACGTACGAGCGACGTCCATAACCATGCCAATGCGGCGCTCAGCAATCCCATTTTGCTGCGGAGAGGCTGGAAGCGTGAAAGTCTAGCGGATGCCCTTGGCACGACAGAAGGCTCGCAGAAGGTCGGAGGAAAACTCTCCACCTCTGTCGGACTGCAGACGCAGAACAGGAAGGTCCGAGCCGAAACTCTTGATGAGCTGACGTCGCGTTTCGCGGATCCAGTCAATCAGCACCTCAGTGACCTCACCCTTGCGGCGCAAGGGGAAGACTGTGGTGTAACGCGAGTAGTCGTCAACGACCAGCAGAAAGTAGCGCTCGTGACCCTGTCCACGGACGCGCGCTGGGCCCCACACGTCCATGTGAAGCGTCTGTAGGGGAGCCTCCGTCGGAGGGAACTCAGAGGAGTGGGGAGCAGCGCGCTGCCGCCCCTCGATGCAAGGAACGCAGGTAGGGGCAGGCCCCGGGGGAAGGGGAGGGAGAGAATGGGGAGGACAAGTGATAAGGACACGGGAGGCCATGCCTTGGAGACGAGGCAGGGAGGGGTGACCAAGGCGGTGGTGCCAGAGGAGAGTCTGGTGAGATAGGAGGCGACACGAGGAGGGGGCAGACTCAGGACCAGATCGAGACGCTGCAGCAAACACCTGACCCGACGCGGGTACGTGACCAGACTCAGCAACCAGAGGAGAGACGGTAGTCAGGGTGTACAAGCTCGACCCAGGCTGACGGGTGAACGTGGCCAGGTTCCGGCCCGTCAAAGTACACGAACAGGGGGTTACCCGTTGACCTCCAGGAGTGAACTGGTCTACCCACACTTCCTGAAGGTCAGCTCCACGCCGGACACGGCAGAACCGTGGAGGAGTGTGCAAGGACCGGACCCCCAGAGGGGTCAGCCAGAGAGACTGCCACAGGCCGACTGAGCGGCGAGAGTGTGGTGCAGTCGCGAAAGAAGGAGTGGGAAGCACTCGAGTCAAGGGTGAAAGAGTGCAAGGCCGCAACAGGCGCAGTACCAGAGAGAGTAGACTCACCAGCACCTGGAGCAGTGGACTCACTAGCGCCTAGAGTAGCTGCCTCACTGGCACCTGGAGCAAGAGACGCACCAACACCTAGAGCAGTAGCCTCACCAGCACCTAGAGCAGTAGACTCTATACGTGGGTCAGGCAGCACATACAGGTAATAGGCACCCTCAGCACTAGTAGGCAATGCATACATGGCAGTGAGAATAGCATCATATTCAAGAGCAAAGATATCTACCCTCTGCCTAAGCAGCTCCAACCAGGAGGGGAGCTCAGCGTCGTTGCCTAACTCTGTACGCAAGGCGTCTCTCAGACAGGAGAAGCAGCGGGACTCTTTGTGACCAACCGTCCCACAAGGCTGACCAGCCGAAGCACTAGTGCGAATGACGTACGTGCAGCGAGCAGTACGCCGTGACCCTCGAGTCTAAGCGTACCACTCACGAAGCTGCTAGGGCGAAAGGAACTTGCGCGGACGCCGCTGTAGCTGCACCTCGCCACTACAAAAAGCTCCCGAACGATCCGCTCTAGGGCGAATCCCACCACGGCCACCCGTACAACCCCATCTAGTGTACCACTCACGAAGCTGCAGGGGCATGAGGGACTCACACGGACGTCGCTGAAGCTGCATCTGGCCACCGCCAGGAGCAGCAGCAGCAGTAGTAGCAGCAGTAGTAGCGCGGGCAGAGCAGTGCGGCTCAGTATGTCAAACTCATATGCTATAGTCGGTGTAGGATGTAGTGGGGTAGACAATATGGGGTACAACACTTCTAGGTTTTCCTACTTGTACCCACCTGCTTGCTTGTTCATTCATTCCTCATTTCTTCACATGGTATAGAGCAGGTTCCCTAGTGGGAACGCTTCCTTGGGCCCACCACTGAATTTTTTTTTTTTCTGACCGGAGCGTCAGTCGCTCTTGCCCGAGGCCCGCCCCGTGGGCCGCCCTTCTGTCGAGCCCTCCGAGAGGCCCCTCTCAAGGCCCCTTGCGCCACCCTTAGCGGCCCCGTCGCCGCCCCTAGCGGCCCCGTCGCCACCCTTCCAGGCCCCTCGCGGCCCCTATGCGGCCCTGTCGCCGCCCCTAGCGGCCCCGTCGCCGCCCCTACCGGCCCCGTCGCCGCCCCTACGCGGCCCCGTCGCCGCCCCTAACGGCACCGTCGCCGCCCCTACGCGGCCCCGTTGCCGCCCTTGCGCGGTCCCGTCGCCGCCCCTAGCGGCCCCGTCGCCGCCCCTACGCGGCCCCGTCGCCGCCCCTACGCGGCCCCGTCGCCGCCCCTAGCGGCCCCGTCGCCGCCCCTCGCGGCCCCGTCGCCGCCCCTCGCGGCCCCGTCGCCGCCCCTCGTGGCCCCGTTACTGCCCCTACTGGCCCCGTCGCCGCCCCTAGCGGCCCCGTTGCCGCCCCTACGCGGCCCCGTCGCCGCCCCTGCCAGCCCCGTCGCCGCCCCTACCGAGCAACCGAGCCGCCCAGCAGCCAAGCCGCTGAGCCGCCCAGCACCCGAGTCGCCGAACCGCCGAGCCGCTAAGTCGCCAAGCAACCGAGTCGCCGAGCCGCCCAGCAGCCAAGCCGCCGAGCCGCCGAGCAGCCGAGCCGCTGAGGCTGCCGTCGAGCCGCCGCTATCGAGCCACTGAGGAGCCGCTGCTTCCGCGGTTGCCGCCCTGTTCCTTCCGGCGCGCCCCAGCCCTGCCCACCCGGACTGGTGAGAGCACCCCCTACTAGACCACTGCTGTCATGGCTACCCCTAGTATTCTCACCTTTGATGCTGAGGGTCGTGCTGTTGACTTCGAGGTCTGGGTAGATGACCTACAGCTTTTCCTACAGTGCGATAGGGCAGACGGACTCTCCCTGTTCGATCTCACCTCTGGTGCCTCTCCTGCCCTGCCTGCTTATGCTGACAGCACTGTCCGCTCACAGTGGGCCACCCGCGATGCTGTTGCCCATCTTGCTGTGCGTCGCCACTTACAGACCACTGAGCGTGCGCATTTTAGTCAGTAAAAGAGTGCTAAGACCTTGTACGACGCTGTAGTTGCACGCTACTCTTCCCCTGCCACTGCTGCTCTTAGCCGCCTCATACTGCCGTACATGTTTCCTGACCTCGCCGCCTTTCCCACTGTCGCTGACCTCGTTATGCACCTTTGCACTAGTGACACCCGCTACCGCGCTGCGCTTCCTGCTGAGTTCTGCGCCAAGAACCCCCCCCCCCCCATGTACATCACCCTCTACTACATAGTCATCCGGCTCCCTGACTCCCTTCGCTCGGTCAGGGACCACTTCCTCTCTGTTTGCCCCACCACACTCACCATTGACCTCCTAGAGGAGCGCCTCCTGGCAGGTGAGAAGAGTATAGTCGCTGTAGGAGCCTCTAGAGGTGACCCGCGTGCCCCTGTCTTTGAGGGGTGCTCCCCCTCCCCCCTTTTGCCCTCTGTTGCCTCTGCTGCTGCCGTCGACTTCGTTGGCACCGAGTCGGTTGGCGCTGCGTCTGCCCCTAGCGGGCGACGCCGCACCGGCAAGGGCAAGGGGGGCAAGGGCGCTGGAGGGGCTGGCGGGGGCGGTGGAGGTGGAGGTGGAGGAGGCGGAGGGAGTGGGGGTGGTGGTGGGAGTGGTGGTGGTGGTGGGGGCTTCGGTGGCGGCAGTGGCGGCGGAGGCAGCGGCAGCGGTGGCGGTGGGAGCGGAGGAGGAGGCGGTGGCGGGGGTGGCGGAGGTGGCGGCGGAGGAGGTGGAGCTAGTCGGGGTGGCTCTGCGCAGCGGGGCGGCTTAGGTGGTGGTCAGCACCAGCAGCAGCAGCGCACTCGTGAGACCCCGTCCCCCAAGTAGCTTCGTGAGTGGAACGCTGGGCGTTAGCGAGGTGGGGGTTCTTGTCCCTGTACCTACGTCCTCCGTATCGGCAACCGCGCTGGAGAGCAGTGCGGGGGCCCGCACTCCACCCAGCGCTGCTTCGGCCGCCTGACGGACGCTTGGCGTCACCAGTTCCCTGACGCCATTGAGATCCCTCGCTGGAGAGAACTGTCTAGGGCGGGGGTTGCTATCTTTGATCTTGACTATGATGTTCTTCTTGCTGCCATGTATGCTGTGTCTACTAGTGATGAGGGTGACTGTTACCTGTGTGTTCTGCCTAACCCGGGCATTGAGGCTGCTGCTCTAGGTGCTGGTGAGGCTGCTGCTCTAGGTGCTAGTGCGTCTGCTGCCTCAGGTGCTGGTGAGTCTGCTCTCTCAGATACCACGTCGGCTCAGGCCTTACACACCTTCACCCTTGATTCGGGTGCTTCCCGCTCCTTCTTTCGAGACCGCACCACGCTTACGCCGCTTAGTCGGCTGGTTGCGGTATCCTTGGCGAACCCCTCTGGGGGTCCTGTCCTTGCTAGCTTCTCCACTATCTTACCGTGTCCGGCAGCCCCCTCTGGCACCCTGTCAGGTCTCTTCCTTCCCTGATTCTCTACGAACTTGGTGAGTGGTGCTGATCTACAGGATCGGGGGGCTGACCAGTTCACTCCTGCGAGTCAGCGGGTGACCCACTATACTTGTGCTCGGACGGGCTGACACTTGGCCACGTTTACCTGTCGGCCGGGGTCGAGCCTGTACACACTGACTACTGAGTCTCCTCTGGTTGCTGAGTCTGGTCAGGTAGCTGCGTCGAGTCAGGTGTTTTTGCTACAGCGTCCCGGTCTAGTCCTGAGTCTGCTCCCTGCTCGTGTCGTCTCCTGTCCCATCATACTCTCCTCTGGCACCACCGCCTTGGTCACCCCTCCTTGCCTCGTCACCGAGGCATGGCCTCCCGTGTTCTTGTCTCTGGTCTCCCCCGGTCCCTCCCTCCCCTCCCTCCGGGGCCAATGAATGACGGGGCCTAGCACAGACAGATATAGCGAAAGCCTAGCTAGACAAGGACCCTGGAGTAACCATGGTTCGGGTTTGCCACAACTCGAAGGCGACGCGAGGTATGTTCGGATGGTGAGGTCATCGGAAGCATGGAACTATGAAGGTTGGAGCTGAACGGAGTGACCTAGTAAGCAAGGTTTATTTTATCCATGTAATTAACCATTCTATACTGATTATAAGATTACACAAGAGCGGACAGGACAAACCCCCCCCCCCCCCCCCCCCCCTTCCCCCTTTTCCCCGAAATGAATTCATCGCCGCTAGCGCAACTGTTCGCGAAGGTCTTTAACTGATGGAGTTTCTGTCAGATTATATTGCATGTCTAGTCTGTAGTGGGGTACTCAAAAGTAAGTATAACCCTTTTAGGGCTTACTACTTGTATCCCCCTCCTTTCTAGTTACAACATTCATTCTCCTTTTCAACTCTCTCGACATTTTCCTTACCCTCGAACTTCACCACTAAGTCACTTAAACCCATGGCTCCTAAGCCTACTAAACTCTAGTACCTTGACTGTTTCTACATGAAGCAAAAGTGAAGATGAACGGACACTTCACATTAACAACCAAATTGCGATAAAGATCACGAACAAGCCTAGCTTCGTGAACCGCATGAAGCACATCGCACCCCGTTACTCATCTACTGCCTAACCGGTGACATGGCAACAGATTTCCCGACGAATAAACTGCCCCGTAAGAAACTCCAGCACTCTGCGGACCTCTGCAAGATCGTTAAGAAATCCCACATGGCTCACCTTTAGTAATGAAGGGGAGTGTTGGAAAAATCAAGGGTTATCTAGAATTCCCAAAGGTTCAACCTTAGCGCACGGCTTCATAACGTATTAGCTCGTATAAGAGCGCGGGAAGGTCAACAGTCATAGGAAGTCAACGGTCGCGACTATTGACCATCCTGCAACAGTAATCGGAGGTTACGCAATGAAACACTGTAACCGTAAAGGATCGCAATAGTCATTGCAACAGTAGCGATGCCTAAAAAACAGTTAAATAATATAATGTACCCCTCAGAGTACGTGGCTAGCTATGAAATTGCTCTATCAGCCTCTCGTAATACTCTCTTTATCATCTTGTTTCCTTTGCTTTATTATAAACAAGGTCATGTAGACTTCCGCTGTCTTAATTCGAGTTGGCAAGCAGTATCCTATCTGTCTGAACTATACTCTAGGCTGTAATGGGGCACTCCTTATGGGGTACAGCCCTGTTAGGTTTTGCATATTCAAACCTTGTACTGTTCTCATTCTAGTCATTGTTTCATCGTTCTAATTCTAACATGGTTTCAGAGCACGTTCCCTACTGGGAACGTGTTTTTAGGGCCCACCACAAACTTTTTTTTTTCTCCCCTGCCCGAAGCGCACTGCCGTGCCTGCCTGCCCCGTCACGCACCTTGCGCCTGCCTACCCGCGCCCTCGAGCTGTCAAAATCCTAAGTCGAGTTGGGCTTAGGAGCCATAGTTGGGAGTGACTTAGTTCGAGTTGAAGGTTTGAAGGAAAAGTGTCGAGGGATTTTGGAAGGAGAAAAGTGTTTCAATAATAGAAGGCATACAAGATATGTCGGCGAACCTTCCTCCTCTCAGCCGCCGCTCTCCTTCATGCACCTCCTCTTACCATGCACCTGCTCTTCTTCCTGCACCTGTTCTTCTCATGCCGACTCTCCAGTTTCCTCCTTCTCCCTTTCGCACAGCCTCACTTACCCACTAAAAGAGCCTGATCTCTCACCCCGTAGGTTCCCTATTAGTGTCGTGCTGTCGTGTGCTAGAGCCTGAGACAATCAGTTTCACTAGTGCAAGGGAATATTAGCGAGAAAGCATCGATGGGTTGGAGGTGAGTGACCTTACCCCACCCCTGGCTGCACATTTCCAAAATGTGTGGCTCGGGGTTGGGGTTCGTTGGTTTCACATTTCGCCTTTCGGATTCTTTCCCCCTTTTTATCTCAACCGCTCTTATCCTGTTTCCCCCCTTCTACACCCTCGCTCCTAACACTAACTTTACTACATCCTACACCTATTACCTATATTCTTATTCCTATCTCATCTTCCTATGGACTTAGGATGAAACCCACACTCCACCATCATTCTACTGTTATTGCATATGCATTAAGTGCATATGTGGTGACAGCTGTCGGCGAACCTTCCTCCTCTCAGCTGCCGCTCTCCTTCATGCACCTCCTCTTACCATGCACCTGCTCTTCTTCCTGCACCTGTTCTTCTCATGCCGACTCTCCAGTTTCCTCCTTCTCCCTTTTGCACAGCCTCACTTACCCACTGCCCCCTCCTGTGCTCGTGCTCTAGCTGCCTGAGCCCGAGTCACAGGACCTGCTTGGTGAGGCTTGCTCCCCCTCACCATGGCCGTATTGCTCTGGTGCTCCTTCAGGAGTGCCCCTGTGTCATTTTCCAGAACCAACACCCCTGAGGGACGGACCTCCTTCACCCTCCACCTCTCCGTGCCCACCCCAACATCCAGCGTGTCTTGCTTTGCCCGCTTCAAGTACACTTCCTGCCCCTAACTCACTCCCTTCCTGGGTCTGTCCCCCGCCCCTTGCTGTTGCCTCTGCTCATATCTCCGAGCATCCCGCAGCTGTGCCGTGTGGAGATTCTCCAATGCTGCTGGCATCATCACTCATAGGTATCTTGCCCTGGCCTCGGATAGCGCCACCCAGTTCTCTATCGTCCCTGCAGTCACCGTGTCTGTAAGGACCCGGGTTGCTCCCACCGGCAGCAATGGCTCACACCCATATAGGAGACTATAAGGGGAATGATCTCTCAGTGCTGCCTGCTTCCCAAATCTGTACCCTGCTGCTATTCAATGCAGCTCCTCGTCCCAGTCCCGCTTCCTCTTTTCCCCGTACGCTCGCAGTCCCCGCTTCAAGGTCTAGACCAGTCACTCAGTCAGCCCATCGCTCTGTGGGTGGTACCGCGAAGTGCGCCTGTGGGTGATCCCGGTCTCCTCCAGCAGCCCCTTAAACTCCCCTTGGAACTCTGTCCCTTGATCTGTTAGGACCTCTGCACATGCCCCGAACCTGCACAACACTTGTTCCTTGAACGCTGCTGCCACGTGTCTGGAGCTCTTGCTCGGGATCGCTCTTACCTCCAGCCACTTGCTCACATGTTCGACCATGAGCACTATGTACTGCTTCCCCCCACGGCTCAGTGGCAGCTCCCCCGCCAGGTCTAAGGACCATCGGAAGCCGAGGCCTCGGATGGGCAGCGACTGCAACTCCGCCTTGGCTTGGGTGAGATTTGCCCTGCTCCTTTGGCATGCCTCACAGCCCTCCACCCACCCCTTTACTTGCCTCCGCATCCCCTCCCACCACCACCCTGTCTTCAACAGCTGCACTGTCCTTTCATGCCCAAAGTGCCCTAGCTTGTTGTGGACCTCCTTAATCACCGCTCCCCTCTCACTTGGAGCCGGCACCAGTTTCCATCCGTCCTCTGTCTGCACCTGCAACTGCTGCTGGTACCACCGGTAGTGCTGGCCCCTTGCCCTTACTCGTGCCGGTAGCGCTTCATCCTCTCCCGTCTCTCCCTTTACCCATCGCAGGGCCGGCCCGTCCTCCCATATGTCTGCTGGCCCCTTCCCCTCCTTGGCCCCGTTCTGCTCCACCAATCTGGCCAGCAGTGTCAAGGTTACGGTGGGCTCAAGCGGTGGGGGGTTCCGTGAGAGGCCATCTACGTGTTGCGGTGTCTTTCCTGGCCTATGCCTGATCTTGAAGTCATACGTTCACGCTCTACACCGATTGGAGCAGCCAAGGGATGGGAGGGATCCTCTGCCAGGAGGTAGAAAGAGAGGAGAAGGTAGTGGCATATGCGAGCAGGAGCTGCAACTCGGCAGAGGCACAGTACAGCTCCTACATCGGAGAAGGGTTGGCAGCCGTATGGGCAGTAGGGCATTTTAGGGTGTACCTGCAAGGGAGGGAATTCACCTTAGTAACTGACCACCAGCCCCTGACGTGGCTGATGTCAACCCGAGGACTGACGGGCAGGAATGCAAGATGGGCGATGAAGCTACACTGCTTGAGCACCGTCGCGGTCTTCACTGCTGCCATCAGGTCCTGCAGCGCCCCTTTCTGTGCTTCCCCCCACTCCCACGCCTGGTCCTCCCGCAATAGCACATTCAACACTGCTGCTCGCTTGCTGAATTTGGGCACAAACCGCCTGTAGTAGCTCAAGAAGCCCAGCACTGCTCTCAGCCCTGACTTGTCCCTCGGCTCCCTCAGTCTGTCCAGGACTTCCACCTTGGCCTGTTGGATCCCTATCTGTCCCCCTTTCACCTCATACCCTAGGTACTGCACCGTCTGTTCCCCCCATCTGCACTTCTTCGGATGGCAGGTGAGTCCCGCCTCTTCAACCGCCGCTAGGGTCCGCTCAACATCCTGTAGGTGCTGCTGCTCTGTGGTGCTGAAGATCACCACGTCATCAATGTAGCAGGCTGCGCACTCCACTCCCCGCAGCACGCTGTCCATGACCCTCTGGAATACTGCTGATGCGTTCCTCAGTCCAAACGGCATGTACAACCACTCGTACAGCCCGTCTGGCCCATGAAAGGCCGTCTTCCTAACGTCCTCCTCTCTGATTTTGATCTGGTTGAACCCCTGCCGCAGGTCCAGCGTAGTGAAGAACACCCCCTCTGCCAGTTTGTCAAAGATTTCCTCTGCCATCGGCATCGGGTACCTGTCTGCTACGGTGATTTTGTTGAGTGCCCTGTAGTCTCCACACATCCTCCTGCTCAGCACCTCCCCTGTCAGGTCTCTCCTGGCTGCCACCACTGTGGGTGTGGCATACTCAGACTCCGATCTCCTAATCAGTCCTGCTTCCAGCAGCTCCTTGATCTTCTCCTTGCAGATCTCATCATCCCCAGGCGGCATCTTCCTCCTGCGCTGGAACACTAGTTCCGTGCTGCTCAGCTTCAGCTCCATCTCCTTCACCTTGCACCTTCCCAGTTCCTGCATGGTGAAGGCAAAGCACTTCCTGTGCCTGGCGAGCAGCTCCTGCATGGCCTCCTTTCCCGCCTTGCTCATTGCTTCCCCCACTACCCAGCTCCCCTACTCCTTCTCCTGGCAGCTCCATGCACCTCGTGGCTCCGCCTCCATCCTTCCTCTCTCTTCCGCTTGCCCCCAGCTCACGACCGTCTCCCGCCACATCCGCTGAATCAGCCACCTCATCACGTGGCCATCCATTGTATTCCCTAGAGCCCTTCTCCTGTCCGCTTCACTTGCCCCAGGCGCTGCTGTTGCATCTTCCTCGTATCCCATAGCCAAATCCCGCTCCAGTGCCGTGGGCTCCTCCCATCTCCCCTTTTTGTGGTCATACACCATTCGTGGCCCCGGCTTCCCAGCTTCCCACCTGTACCCTGCTGCCCCGACATACGCCACCAGCGTGGGCAGGGCCCTCCTCTCCTGCCCCACTTGGTTGCACTGCTCGTGCCTGCTGTAGCTCTTGTGACACACTGGTGCTGGGGTCCGCCCTGGTTCCAGGATGTCCTTCACCTTCCTTTCTGCTGCTCGCCTTACCCCCTCCATCTCTGCCTGCAGTTGCTCGGCAGGGACCACATTCTGCCAGTACATTCTGAGCCTGTGCGCGTAGGACCCCATTCTGGCCACATCACAGCTCACCCCTTCTCCCAGTTGTCCCCTGATCCTGACCCTCACCAGTCGGATTGGCTCTCTGCTATCCCCCTCCAGGTCCAGGTTCTCCAGCAAGTATGCCACCCTGCCCTGCCTCTCCTGCAGCCACTCCATGATTCGAAACAGATCCTCCAGCAGCCCCGTCCTATGATCTTCTCCTCCCTTGCCCCTGCCTGCCCGCGACACCCCTTGGCATTCCCACCCTGCCACCAGCAGATCCACCTGCCCCCAGCTCGCTACTTCGGCCTCGCCTATGTCGTTCACATCGTGAATCGTCCCCCCCATCGCCTTGCTGATCACCTCCTCACTCAGCAGGTCCGGGAATTCCGCTTGCAGCTTCTTGGCATGGTGCTCCGCCATCCTCCTTACCCTGGGTTCCTTCTCCACATATGTCCATCTCTTCACTGCTATCCCATTCCTCACCACTGCTGACAGCCCTGCCCCTATCCCCCCAAATAACTCCACCAGGTGGATGAGCTGTTGCCAATCACTCTGCTGCTGCGGCTTGTCCATCCTCTTCATTCTAGGCGCTCCTCCCCTCCCCGGCAGCCCTCCCTGCTCCCCTGGCAGCCGCTCCCCCATGGCCTGGTATGCTCTCTTCGGCTCCACCTTCACGAATCGCACTGGCAGTTCTCCTAGCGGCCCCTCCCTTTTCCAGTATCTGGTCCTAAACTCCACCCTCTCCATCCAAGTGCAGATGGTCATTCCTACCGCATACACCAGCTTGGTGTCCACCAGCACATCGAAGTCCTCTGACTCGGAAATCCCACACGTCATGCGGATTTTGGTTTCATGTGTCCCCCCCGGTAGCAGCGTCACTTCTATGGGCGTCCGTGTGCATGGCATCCATTTCGGCTCCCCCCCTTCCGCTGTCATCACCAACATCCCCTTGGCCACGTGCCTCTCTGAAGCCAGTAGTCCCAGCCTCTCAGCCATCCCTCTGCCCAACATCACGCTCTGTGCCCCCGTATCTATGATGGCTGTCGTTACTTTCACTCCCTCCACTTCCATGGCTCCCTTTTCAAGCAGTAGCACCGAGGTCTGGCATGCCAGCCTCTCTTGGGGGTGGCGTGCGGGGGCTGGCTCTTGGGCCGGCTCGGATGGCGCTTCTCCCTTCACCTGCTCCTTCCTTCCTTGCTCTCGCCTGCCATCTCTTCCCCCGCTTCTCAGCCCCATCTCCTCTCTCCCCCTCCATGCCATGAGAGCACACTGCACGTCCTGCTCCACCTCCTCTCCCCCCCCTTCTCCCGCGTACATTCCTGCCTCCGCCTCCCCCTTCAGCCCTGTTGCCCTCAGCTGTGCCTGTAACCTGTTAATCTGCCGCTGCAGCTCCTCTGAATGCCTCCCACTCCCCCCTTCCCTCTGGTAGCAATCCTTCGCCTCATGTCCCTGCCTTTTGCAGATTTCACACCGGGCTGCATCCGGGCATTCCCGCTTCCTATGCCCCGGCTTCCCGCACCCATCACAGTTTTTGCAGTCCCTGCGCAGATGGCCCGGCTGTCCACACCTGTAGCATGTCCTGGTATCCGCCCCAGTCTCCCCTCGTCCCTCTGTTCTCCCTCCTCCTCCCGGTATTATGGCCGCCGCCCACGTTGGCCGCCTACTCCTCTCTGCTGGCCTGGGGAGATATGCCTCGAATTTCCTTTGCGCGAGCTCCACCCTCTCCGCCAAGGCGAACACCTCCTCCAGGCTTGCATCCGCTCCAAGCTCATACACCCTCATCCTCAGCCCCCCTCCTAAGGCCTCGTCCAAGCCCCCCAGGAACTTGCTGACGAGAAGGCTGCTGTCCGTGCATCTCACGTCCTCCGCCACATTTATCAGCCGGTTGTAATAGGTCAGCAATGATTCAGTCCTGCCCCTGCTGAATTCCTGGAACTCCCTTATGCGCTCGGCCGTGTGCCCTGGGAATTGCCGCTGCAGCCTCTCCAGGAATGCCTCGGTGGGGTCCTCGCCGTACCTCCCCGCCCTCCACAGCAGTTTCTCCATCCTCATACGGTAGAGCGTCTCGGCCTCTCCCTCGAGCGTGTTCGGCAGGCTCAGAAAGAAGTCTACTGGATCCATGTGGTGCCGGTCGCAGCGGTACCGCACATTCCCCACCTGCATGAGGTAGTTCTTGAGGGTCGGTCCTGCACGCTGGTCACCTGAGAATCTGGCGGGCACCTCCACCCGTGGGGCGCCGTTGCTGCCCCCACGCCCCTCTCCCCATGCCTCGCTGGCCCCTTCCTGCCGACTCCTCTCTGTTCCCCTCACCCGTGCTCTCTGCATGCCCTCTCTAGCTTCCCGCGCCCGCTCTGCCCCTTGCGCCAGAGTTCCGCCTTCCGTTCTTCTCTTTTGGCGGCTCCCGCCTGCCTCGTACCGCCTCTCCCTTGATTGTCCTCGCCCCTCTGTCCGTCCCCACTGCACCGTCGGCGGTCCGTGCACCTCCCGCTCCTCCCATCTGCTCATCTCACACCGCGGCCGCCTCTCTGGCGATGGTGATCAGGCGTCCAGGTGCTCACTCCAAGTACGCGGCTGACGCCACGGTGACCGCTCCCCCGCGTACTTCTCCCTGCGCGTGTGTTGTCCGTCCGGCGAGCGGGACCAGCTGCTGTCTCTCCGCTCCCTCTGCCTAGTCCGGCCTGGCGAGCGTATGGTGCTGCTGCGTCCCCCTTGCTGCTGACTGTGCCACTTCGGCGGCGCTGTTTCCGTCTCTCGCCCCCTCTCCCCGTGCGGCTGCTGCCGTCCTGCCGAAAGCGAAGCGCCGCCGCTCCACTCTCCCTGCTCCTGGCGCTCGCCGCGCGGCCGGAACTCGCCCACACGCCCTCCCCCGAGGCGCCGCTCCCTCTCCGCCGAGCGGGACCGCTCCTCCTTTCCCTTGCCGCGTGAATTTGGCGCCTGCCACGCTCGATGGCTCATCTCTGGCCCGCCCAGCTCCTGCCGTCCGGAGCTCTCCGTGCGCCGCCCTTCCTCGTAGGGATCGTCTCGACCGCGCGATCCCGGTGGCGGAGCCTCTAATTCCGCGACCGCCACCGGGCTCGTCTCCGCTTGCGCCTCTGCCGGCTCGGTTTCCGCATCGCCCGTTCCTCCTGTTTGCGCCTCATTCGCCCCTTCTATCCCTGCCTCCTCGTCTGACCGTTCCGATCCTTCTTCCTTGTCCTCCACGCCCTGCTCCGGCGTCTCTTCTCGAACCGCATTGTGCGGCGAGTTCTCTCCGCGAGCGACGCTGCCGCCGCTCCCTCCTTGTCCGCGAGACTGCTCGCCGAACGCCAACCACCGCCCTCTCTCGTTGCGACGTCGTCCGCGCTCCTCCGGGGAGCGGAACACCCTTCCGCCGCGGTGGTTTCCGCCCTCCGCGCCAGGTCTGCGTCCGCTCTCTTGGAGCCACGCATCTTGATCCACGCATTCGGCGTGTCCTATGTCATTCGTACGCGCATAAGCTACTCGACCGTCCCTCATGACAGGGACCTGATCGGCGCGGAAGGCGGGATGGCGCGGCGATCGCTCCATGGATCGCCCACGCTCTCGTGACGGCTCTCGGCGCTCCCGTTCCTCCTCCCGTCGGCTATACGCCCTACCCCAGCGCAGCTCGTATCGATCCATCTCGTTCGCGCTAGGAAGTTACAGTCCTTGTGAAGCAAGGAAAACAGGAATGGAATGACTAAGGAAAGATTGGGTACAAATACAACCCTAGAAACCCTGTACCCCATATGTGCTACCCCACTATAGCCTACAGCAACTATGTCATATAAATCTGACACACCCCCATAGGCAAAGTGGGGGAGAACAAGGGGTCACAAGACCAGTCAAGCAAAGCAAAGCAAGCTCAGGGTGGATCACAAAGTCACCACACAGTCCGAGCACAAGAGTAGGGCCAGAGGCCAGTTCACATGCAGAAGTACAGACATATGTATACAAAACTAGACAAGCAAGAGCAGGCATATATATATGTCACAGTACAAGTGAAGTCAAGAGGAGAGCAAGTGAGGCAAGACAGGCACAAGACCCAGCTGGGTGCAAAAGCGCTGATGGTCACAAGGCGCGAGTGCCTTGGTGAACACATCAGCAGTGTTGGCCTCAGAGGCCACGTACGCAAGTCGCAACTGACCACGCTGCTGCAGCTCACGAGCAAGGAAGTAGCGGAGAGCAATGTGCTTCGTTCTGTGCTCCAAGCGCTGCTCTCGACACAAGGCCAGCATGGCCTTGTTGTCTACGTACAGCACTGGAGGAGAACGAGGCGGCTCTCCAAGGTCAGTCAGCAGGTAGGTGAGCCAGCGAAGCTCCTGTGCAGCCATGGCCCCGGCGTAGATCTCAGCCTCACAACTGGAGCCGAGAACCGAAGACGAGCGAGTAGACCGCCACGAGACAGAGCCGGAACCAAGGCTGAAGGTGTAACCCTGTGACGACCGCTGCGTAGCCTGGTCGTCAGCCCAAGAAGCGTCCGCGTGGCCGGTAAGGACCACTGGACTCCGCCCTCCAAGCACTAGCCCCATGCCCGACGTACTGCACAGGTAGCGCAATACCCTCTTCGCTGCAGCCATGTGCTCTGGTCTGTGTCTCCCAGGAGCAACATAGCGTGCAAGAATGCTCAGAGGGTATGCAAGGTCAGGTCGTGTGCAGGTCATCAGGTACATGAGGCAGCCAACAAGCTCTGCATACGGACCACTCGACTCTACGGACTCATCCGAAGGCAGAGCTGAGAGTGAGTGGCGAGTAGGCAGAGGAGTGGCCTGAGGCGAGGAGTACGTGAAGCCGAAGCGCTGAAGGACCTGCTGCACCATGTGTGACTGAGTCAAGGTAATGGTGCGGCGTGCTCTGTCCCGAGTGATCTGCAAGCCAAGGTAGCTGCGCAGTTCACCCAGGTCTGTGCACGTGTGTCTCTTCAGCAGCTCGGACTTCACGTAGGCGAGTCCAGCAGTGTCCGCTGTGGCAAAGACCAAGTCGTCGACGTACACGAGGATGTAAAACGGCGGCAGGGAAGTGTCGGTGCGAAGAAACAGCGACGGGTCAGCAGTAGAAGGAGCAAACCCAAGAGCCGCAAGCGTAGTCCTCAGTGTGTCGTGCCACTCACGCGGTGCCTGGCGGAGACCGTAGACTGGCCGTCGGAGGCTCCACTGGGTGCCAGGAGGGAAAGTCCCAGTGAAGCCAGGTGGACGGCGAAGCCAGATCTCCTCGTGCAGGCTACCCTGCAAGAACGCAGTGCTGAAGTCGAGAGAGTGAAGCTCGTAGTCGCGCTGAGCGGCTATGTGCAGCAGCACCCGAAGAGTAGTCATCTTCGGGGTGGGAGAGAAGGTCTGAAAGTAGTCAACTCCCTGCCGCTGACTGAAGCCACGAGCAACGTACCCTGCCTTGAAGACAGGTGGAGAGCCCGGCGGCCGCTTCACCCTGAAGATCCACATGCCACTGACGATGTTCGCCCCAGGAGGGGGAACCGCGTCAACGTAGGTGCCTGTGGACTTCCAGGAAGCCATCTCTGCATCCATAGCTGCCTGCCACTGAGAGGAGTAGGGACCCTCTACGGCCTCCGCGTAAGAACGCGGAGTCGGGATGTCTAGTGCATCCGGGTCTCCCTCAGGGGCAAGCAGTACAGACGTGAGATGAGGTGAAGCAGCCGCTAGACACTGTAACTCCTCCTGCCTGTCCTCTAGGACGTCCGTGCCAAGAGCACACTCACCCCCGACGGACGGAGGACAGACAGACGTAGACTCAGCAACAAGACTCGCAGCGTAGTCGAGACGACAGCGAGCAGCAAAGTCGACGAGCTCAGCGACTAGACGCAGCAGTGGACTCAAAAGAGGGGTCAGTGACGACAGTAGCAAGCAGACGCGTGACAGTAGGACTGGCAGCACGAAGAGAGTCCGACTCCGGGTCGGCAAGCGCAGGAAGAGAGGACTCAGGAGGAGAAGGCAAAGGGGCACGCAGAGGAGCAGTGGACGGACGCAAAGACATCCGGTGCGTGCCAGGGACAGGAGGAGGACGCTGACGCGAACTGCGACCACTAGCGCGAGCAGCACGAACAGGCGACGCGGGACGAGACGCAGGCTCACGACGCTCAGCAAGACCTCCAGTAGGACCAGTGTAAGGAGAGGGAGCAGGCAGTGGAGAGGAAGGCTCCAGCAGGGACTGCGACTGGACAGGCGGTGGACCCTCTACTAGAGGAGAAAGACCAAGAACCTGCTGCAGGAGCGGAACGAAGTACGGCCGAGGCCGCGCGGCAGCTCCAGACTCAGCAGGGACAGCACCACCACCCTCAGCGACAGCACCAGCGCCACCCACACCTCCAGCGGTAGGACCAACAGCAGTAGGCTCAGCACCAACGCCCTCAGCAGCTCCAGCTCCAGGAGGACCCGCAGGTCCAGCAGCTCCGGGACCGGCAGCACCCGCACCCTCGACGGTCGAAGAAGCTCCAGCCCCAGCTCCAGCAGCACCTCCAGACTCAGCAGCACGCCTCCAGCGGCGAGCGAACCACTCGCGCAGCTCCTGTGGAGAGAGGGGCTCCCGGCGAGACGCAGCAGCAGGAGAAACCCCAGGCTCAGCAGCTCCAGACGCAGCACCCCCAGGCTCAGCAGCTCCCGACCCAGCACCCCCAGACCCAGCACCTCCAGGCACAGCACCCCCAGGCTCAGCACCCCCAGGCTCTGCACCCTCCGCAGTAGCACCCTCAGGCCCAGAACCCCCAGCAGTAGCACCCCCAGGCTCAGCACCCCCGCGCACAGCACCCGCAGGAGCACCAGAGTCACCAGTAACCTCCACCGGGTCAACGGCGTCTACCTGGGACACACCTGAGGGGGCAGGAACCTGAGGGGGGAGGGGGTCTACCGGGGGGGGAACCGGCACAAGGAAGTCCGGGGGAGGGGGGAGGGAAGGAGTGCGGTAGGGGAAGAGACGGTAGAAGGGGACTGACTCGTCGAACGTGACGTCCTGGGAGGACAGAACACGACGAGAGGAGGGGTGGTAAAACTGCCACCCTGGGGCGTCAGTGGGGAAGCCAAGGAAGACACAGGGAGCAGCACGAGGGGACAGCTTGTCCGCAGACAAGTCGCGGACAAACGCCCGAGATCCCCAGACACGGAACACAGACGCATCGCCAACCTTCCCCGTCCACAGCAAGGCTGGGGACATCGCAGGCCGAGAGACCCGGGGGTGAAGGTTGAGCTGATGCGCCGCGTACCTCACCGCAAACGGCCACAGAAAATGGGGGGCAGCCGCATGCATCATGGACGTACGAGCGACATCCATGACCATGCCAATGCGGCGCTCAGCAATCCCATTTTGCTGTGGTGAGTCCGGAAGCGTGAAGGTCTGGCGAATCCCCCGTGCACGACAGTAGTCCCGCAGAAGGCGAGAAGAGAACTCTCCGCCTCTGTCCGAGTGCAGACGCAGAACAGGAAAGTCCGAGCCGAAGCTCTGCCTGAGCTGGAGACGAGCCTCGCGGATCCAGTCGATCAGCACCTCAGTGACTGCACCCTTGCTGCGCAAGGGGAGGACTGTGGTGTAACGCGAGTAGTCGTCAACCACCAACAGGAAGTAGCGCTCGTAACCCTGCCCACGGACGGGGGCTGGGCCCCACACATCCATGTGAAGCGTCTGCAGGGGAGCCTCTGTCGGGGGGAAGTGGGAGGAGTGAGGAGTAGCCCGGAGGCGACCCTCGACACAGGGGACACAGGAAGGTCCTGGCCCGGAGGGGAGAGGAGGGAGAGACTGGGGAAGACCAGAGACAAGGACACGGGAAGCCATGCTCCGAAGACGGGGCAAGGAGGGGTGGCCAAGACGGTGGTGCCACAGGAGGCGACAAGAACAGGGGGCAGACTCAGGACCTGACCGGGACGCAGCAGCAAGCACCTGACCCGACGCAGCCACCTGACCAGACGCAGGGACAGGAGGAGACTCAACGGTCAGGGTGTAGAGACTCGACCCCGGCCGACGCGAGAACGTGGCCAGGTGTCGGCCTGTGCGTGCCTCCGTGCAGTGGGTCACCCGCTGACGCGCAGGAGTGAACTGGTGAACCCCCACATCCTGCAGGTCCGCTCCACTCACCAAGTTCGTAGAGAATGAGGGAAGGTACAGACCAGACAGGGTGCCCGAAGGGGCAGCCGGACACGGGAGGACAGTGGAGAAGTGAGAAAGGACAGGACCCCCAGAGGGGTCAGCAAGGGAGACCGCAACCGGCCGGCCGAGCGGCGTAAGGGTAGTGCGGTCTCGAAAGAAGGAGCGAGAAGCCCCGGAGTCAAGTGTGAAAGTGAGGGAGGACGAGGACGACGCAGTACCTGAGAGCGCAGTCTCACCAGTACCTGAGAGCGCAGTCGCACTGGCACCTAGAGCAGCAGCCTCACAAGCACCTAGCGCAGCAGTACCAATGCCCGGGTCGGGCTGGAAACACCGGTAACCCTCATTCTCCTCACTATAATCCACAACATACATAGCAGCAAGGATAGCATCAAAATCAAGATCAAAGATCGCTACACCAGCCCTGAGAAGCTCATCCCAGCGAGGGATCTCACTAGCCCCAG